AGACAACAGCTCTCCATCCAACACCAGACAGGGATACCACTGACTTTTTAACATGAATATAGCTTTCTATTTTCTACCAAGCTTTTAAAGGAAAGAAAGTAGAATTCTGTCTGTTCTTCATTAAATCCCTCAAGGATCATTTATGCACACTATAATATATCTTCCAAACTTATCATTTTAATTAGTTTTATTCACATCAGGAAGTTAGTTGCTGTTATCTTAATTTGTTTATAAGATTATACCCTTTCAATTGTTCAAAGCACAAGCACAAAATATAAAGTGCTGTTTAATACAATGTAGTAGACACTGAAGTTGTTCTTATATCTATTTCTAAAACTTGACTAGTTCAAAAGGAGCATTTGTTTGTTTGTTTTGTAATGAAATGCTAGGCACTGGGTGGGTACAATCAAAGCCTAGGTCTCTTTTTAGCGAGGGCCAGGAGCTAGCTAGTTCCCTGCCTGCTCAGAGTAGCTGTCTCCTTTCCCCCACCTCCATAGCATGGCCACTGACTTTGAAACAAGATTAGAAGATCTTGCTTTTTCCTGCTTTCTTTTTTTGTTTTTAAACATGGAGATTGAATACCCAATTCCTAATTTTATTAAGGAGGCAGTAAGGATAAGGAATATTTAGCATAAGATTTTTTTGATGTTTAAAAGAATCTATTTTTGTAAGAAAATTTTCAAGGAAAACTTATTTATCACTCAGATAACTGAGTTTACTGGTTTTTTATATACTTTTTCCCTCCTCCACTCATAGTGGAGGTTTACATTCTTTATTATATGCCTTCATTAATCACTTAGTCCCTAGTAATTTATAAGCTTACTAGAGGCCCAGTGCTTGGATTCGTGCACCAGTGGGGTCCCTCAGCCTGGCCTGTGGAAATCAAGCTGAAATTGGCTCTCTGACATCCCTCCAGGGGTCCCAGATTGTGAGAGGGTGCAGGCCAGGCCAAGGGACCCCACTAGTACATGATTGGGGTTGGGAGAGACCATGGGAGGGATCCAGGGCATCTCAGCCAGACCCCAGCAGCAAGCTAACCTTCCAATTTGAGTGTCTGCCCCCTGGTGGTCAGTGTGCATCATAGCAACCAGTTGAATTAATAGTTGAACATTTAGGTTTTTATTATATAGCATATGTTATTTTTATTGGTTTTATTCATGACTAGGGAAATATATGCCCCCTATATTTTTGAGGTCTATTCCCTTATATCTTTTTTTATTAAGACATAATTAACATATACTAGTTTCAGGTGTACAACATAATGGTTTGATATTTGTATGTTACAAAATGATCACCCATAAGTGTAGTTAATATCCATCATCACACATAGGTACAATTTTTGTTTGATGAGAAATTTTACAATCTCTTAGCAACTTTCAGATATGCAATGCAATATTATTATTAACTATGCTGTACATTATTCACCATGCTATACATTACATCCCCATTTTATATGTAGAAGATGTACCTTTTGATCACCTTCACCCATTTGGCCATCTTTGTCTTTCATGATCACATATTGCACTTGGTTCCACCTCACAAAGTACTTTTCAGATTTTTACTGTTTCCCTGGTTCAGTGCCCTGACCTGTTGCTTTCCCTACTCCTCCCCTTTGAAACATCTGTCTTAGAAACATTGCTAAACATCTAAGCTCCAGCTTTCTGATTCTTCCCTCCATAGCTTCTCCTTCCCACGCTCAGTAGAAGGGTAACTTATCATTCACAATGGCCATTGTAACACAATTGTACTGAAAAGTGTTGGGGCTAAGGGAGCTTCATCACTCTGTAGAATCACTGCTCTTTCAGTTACCAGGTAAAGTATAGAGAGACATTCCTGACCTTACTCCATCTTACCTTCACCCTCATAACGAAGACCTTCATTTTTTAATGAGCAAAAAAGATCCTGAAAATAGTTTTTAAACCCTGATTGAATCTGGTGAGTCTTTTCAGAGAATCACTCATTTTCTGTTGCCGAGAACTCTCACATCAAAGTACTTGATGTGAAATACTATGTGCTTTTACTGAGAGGACTATTAGAATTTTAACTGAGGTCCTAAGTTGAGAATGAGTGATTAGCTTATAGCCAAAGTATTCCCTCACCCACCCATCCCAAACTAACCATATGCATCATATACTCCAATTTAGTACATTCACAGAATCCAGAAGCCTGCAAAAAGCACAGGTGTTCCCTTACATCAAAGGTCAGCAAAGTTTCTTTGAAGTGTCAGATAGTGTCTCCTTCTCTTTACCCTTACTGACCTTCTAGCCCATCCAGCTATGGAGCCTCCTCCCCTCACCTGATCTGGGATGGCCACGTGAGGGTCCTGCAGTGTGTCTGATCCCACACATGCTCATATGACACTTCCTCACCACGCTGGACACTCACATCCTCCTGCCACACAACTGAGAAATGCTTCTTCCCAATTTAGAAAATCCTTTATCCTTCCCTTCTTAGGCCTTCTACTCTCAGTGGCTGGTTCCATAGTAACATAGGATATAGCTAGGAGATACCTGTTGGTGATCAAGAGTCAGCTACCTGAGCTCAGTGTCCCCAAAATGAAGACATGATTTTTATCAAGCTAAATTTACTAGAACCCATGTTTATGATGTAAATTTCAAAAACATACAGGGATGATATGTAAATAAAAGCATGTCAACAGTTGCCATTGATATACTATATAATACCACACCCTCTAATTTTTTAAGTTAGGGGTTTTGCTGATTTTATTTTATTTTTTAATTCTGTTAAATTCAGATCAGTAGACATCTGCAAAGGAAATTTTTGTCTCCTATGGAGTCTGAAGTTGAGGTGTAAGGTTTATCCAGTCAGTAGAGCCCTTTTAGAGTAACCTGGAGGTTTCTTTGGGTCACAATTAAATGCATCAATCGTTGTAGATTTAACTTTGAACATCTGAACTATTCACTTACATCTGAAAGGGCCATTTGCTAATAGATAGTTTTTAGTTAACAATTGAATGAAAAATGTTGGGTCCAGTTCCATCTAGTTTTCCCATATAGCCAATACTCATAGTTTTTTGTATGTGTGCCTCTGTGTAAGTGTTGCAGTTTTATTTATTTACCCAAGAATTGCTTGGTACCTATTTTAGGTTCTGAGGATACTGAACTAGAGGAGGCCATGTATTCAGAAACTGGTAACGGAGAAAGTCATCTAAACAACATCTAAGCAAAATCTGTAGTATGTTCTATTGTGATGGGCGATTTAATAGGAATAGGAAGTGAGTAATTTGGGAGTAGCTAAGAAAGTAACACTGACTGTCTGAAGAAGTAACGAAGTTTAGATGAGGAAAGAATTACCCATTCTGCCAAAACCGGTTTGGCTCGATGGTTAGAGCATTGGCCTGCGGACTGAAAGATCCCAGGTTCGAGTCTGGTCAAGGGCATGTACCTTGATTGCGGGCACATTTCCAGTATGGGTTGTGTACGAGGCAGCTGACCAATGATTCTCTCTCACGATGTTTCTAACTATCTATCCCTCTCTCTTCCTCTCTGTGAAAAATCAATAAAAATATATTTTTAAAAAATGTTTAATATTAGTAATAATAAATAAAAAAGAATTACCAATTCTGCTGCACAGTGAAAAGTGCTAGATTTGGGGCCAAACACATCTTTTTACTGGCCGTGGGGAAGTTACTTTACTACCCTGAGCCTCAGCTTTCTCATCTGTAAAGTGAGAAAGTGGAGTTCATAATACTCACTTTGCAGCTCTCTACATGCGTATCAACAAGTAGCTTTCTTCCCTTCTGGGGCCCATTCCACCGGAGGCCATGTGTGGCCAGGCAGCATGCTGTGGGCTATGGGATGGAAGGGGCAAAGAAGAGATCAGCTTTTGGGGTTGCATGGGGACAGGGCTCCCATTCTGAATAAGAGCCAGGAAAAAGCACACCTGGGTCAACCATTGTCCTGCTCCCCCTGGGAGCTGTTCAGACAATAGATAGTGTATCTTTTCCCAGCAAAGCCTTTGCATAGTTTACTGTCCTTCCAAGTTGACTGAGGGACCTGGTCAGATTACATACTTCTTCAGGCTGCTTTTTACTCTTAAGTTTCTACACTGAACCAAGTCTAGGATTCCTCGGGGCTTGCTCTATTTCCCAAGTCACTGGGGGGAAAAAATTTAAACTTTACACTGTTAAGATATCTCAGATTCGTTCCCAATAGACATGCAAAGAGTGATGTTTATGAATTATATGTACTTTTTAAAATATTTACTTTATTGATTTTTTACAGAGAGGAAGGGAGAGGGATAGAGAGTTAGAAACGTCAATGAGAGAGAAACATCAATCAGCCTCCTTCACAACCCCCAACTGGGGATGTGCCTGCAACCAAGGTGCATGCCTTTGACCGGAATTGAAACTGGGACCTTTCATTCCATATGCCAACGCTCTATCCACTGAGCCAAACCAGTCATGGCTATATGTACTTATGAATACCACATTTGGAGGGGATGCTTTCCATTTTAATGAAATGATATATATATATATTTTTTTCAGTTACTGATAAGTGGACGTTTTCCTAAAGGGGCCTTAACCCATCTAAGTGATATGCACACTTTGGAGTATTGAAACAAAGCATAATTAATTACCCTTGTGACTTGTTGTGCGTTTCAACCGTAGAGACACATCAATCAAGGGAGAGCTCTGCTATCCCATTTGAGTCTACCAGTGGTCCATGGCTGTTCCATCCAGTAGCCCTCAGTCTGTGCCTTTTTGATATTTTGTCTGCAAAGTCATTTACGTATAATGGAAGATGCAGGTGTTAACTCACTTGCCAGAAGCCACAGCAGGAGAGAAGAGATTGAACCCCCCGCCCTCCTCTCTCTGACCCCAAGCCTGCTGACCAGATGGTTAGGTTTCCTGGCAGAGGGGTCATTACCAAATGGGAAATCCGCTGAAAACAGCCCTGTCCCAGGAGGTAGCGCTGCTGGCTCGGTTACTGCAGAGAAGTGATGGAGCACCAAAGCGCGTGTCCCTTTGTCTCTTCCAGGGGAGAAGCCCTACAAGTGCACCTGGGAGGGCTGCACCTGGAAGTTCGCTCGCTCGGATGAACTGACCAGGCATTACCGCAAACACACGGGCGTGAAGCCCTTCAAGTGCGCGGACTGCGACCGCAGCTTCTCCCGGTCAGACCACTTGGCGCTGCACCGCCGGAGGCACATGCTGGTGTGAGGAAGGCCGCCCGTCCAGCTGAGCGTAAGAGCTGGCTCTCTTAGCGGCACCCGGTTCAGCAGGGCTGACTCCCCTCCACAGTGTTCACGCAAAAGGGCATCACCATCCCACACGAGGTCTGAAAACCAGAGCAGGAACGAGAAGGAACACACTTCTCCTTTCGGTCCGCAGGTAACCCCCCATCGCGACTCCACGAGACCCGTCTCCACGCCGGCCTGGGAGATGATGGGTGACACAGATGCTGGAGAGACGGGCCTCGGTGTCCGTGCTGTGTACTCTGCCACTGAATGGTGTTTGTAGCTTGTCCACTTTCCGAGCTGCCAGACTCATTTGGTTATGGACCCTTTTAAAGGTCATCTGCCACAGATGGATGGCGAGAGCGGAGACCTTTCCCGCTGGGGATGATCCTCCCGTCCATCCCACCCCCTAACCTCTTTTTACAGGAATTTCAGTTACCATCTGAGTGAGACAGAACCCCGGTCCAATCTGTTACCGGCCAGCAGCACCCACGTAGACAAGAAGAAGCTGTTGGAGAGGTTCCATCCCCTGAAAATAAAGGGGGCACTCAGGCGGCCCTTGGCAGTAGCGATGGCTGCAGCTAGATAGCGCCCGCGCCTTGTCATCATGCCATGCCCTGAAGAAAACCAACATTGAGTCTTTCATGTGTTCGTTGTTGATTGGTTTTGTGTTTTTTTTTTGTTTGTTTTGTTTTGGTTCTGTTTTGTTCATCTGTCCGCGCAGAGGGGCGGCGACATTTCGGTTGGAGCCCGGTCCCGGGTCTGCCCTGGCATGGACTGGCCCAGGGCTGTTCTGTGGTTGAATAGAAAGAGCCTGTCTAAAAAAACTACTGCCCCACTTCAAATTGCAGTGTTCTGTCACCCAGGCATCATCTCTTCCTGCCCCTAGGATTTGATTACAAGGAATCAGGGGAGGGTGGGGGGGGGACTTTCTTAGACACACTGGCACCAAGGTAAGAAGAGGTGGGGCCACCCAAGCAAAGTCAGTGAACATGAAAAATCAGACAAAGCAGAGATGGAAATAATGCGCCTCTTGAGGAGAAAAGCAATAACGAATAAAAGGACTTTCCTACAATAACTTCACTGAGGACTCACGTTACCAATTTTCATACTTAACTAAAGGGAATTGTAAAAAACACCCCAGCATTTTAGAGGTCTTGGTTTCATTTCCAGCACTGAGGTAATCTTTCTGCTGTTTGTTGTCCTTGCTAGGTTGACTACCACAATTAAAGATTATGCTCCCCTTCTCTCGTTTGTAAACGGCCATTTGGTGAGTAGGCCAGGGAGGCATAGCAGGGAATTAACTCTTGGGTTAATGGGTCAGCTCTCCTTGGAACAGTCAATGGCGAGGGTGTGCCCACCCTCTCCCGCCCCCCAGGAAAGTGCTCCTTTCCTCACTTGGAGAGCCAAGGATACGCGACTCTCCAATGGGTTCTTTCTATACAGACTTCATTTCTTACACTGTGTCAGGGCCCTGTGGTTCTGCATTGGCATCTGTTGGGGATGTTGAAGCCACTCGTCCTGTGCTGAGGGTGAGAGGAAATTATAGTCCTGTCAACCCCCTAAAATTATGAGCCTTTTTGTCATCTAGAAAAGTATACAGTAAACAAAGCAATACATTACCAACAAGCATTCTTTCAGAAAAATTATCATATCCCCCCCCCCCAAACCCCACTAAAAAGCTGGGGTTGTTTTTTTTTTCAGCTTTATGTGGCTAAGGGGGCTTGGTGAGGTTTTTAGTTATTATTGTTGTTAAGATTTTTTATAGCTTAGATACAGATGTTGCCAGCATAAAGACTTTTGCAATATATTTTCATTAAAAGCACTTGATTTTGGGAATTGCACAAATTAACCTCACAATGTTACTAGTTCGTTTTTCAATGTTTGAACATTCTGAAATAATGTCCAGTTGCAGAATTATCCTTTTTTAGGGTTGTCTTCTAATTCAGATAATCTTATTCTGATGAAGCAAGGATTATAGACATTGAAACAAAGACAATTTGTGTTGGATGGTATTAAAAGGAATTATTTTTTAATGTTCAAGCAACAGCATAATGATTTTCAGGTCAAATTCTGTCTTTAGAAATATGTGCTCTGCATTTTCTGCCAGATCTTAAAAATTCACCAGGCAATTTCCCTCCAACAAGGGCTGCAATTCTATTGACAAATAGCTTCTTTAGCTTACACGATCTAGTACACACCAAGCACTGGGATATATTTTTTTTTTTTTACCAACTGGAAAGTTTTTTATCTGTACTGTATGCAACTGCTACTTCTCATTGTCTGTGACCACGTAGAATAGAAAAGGGCTGCTTGATGCATGCCAGCATTGGTTATTGGTCAGCAGCAAAGAGCACAGCGTGGGGAACCCTCTCAGCTGGTCCCAGAACCTAGTCGGCAGTTCGTAGGTGAATCACTCAGGTGCCGGGTGGGCTTCATTTCATTCTGCCTGCTCTCATAAGAAGGCCAGTCCTGCTCTCTGCTGAGAGATGTCTTGAGAGTGTTACAGGTAGGAATGGTTTTCAGAATTCATGAAACTGACAGGCAGTGGGAGCTTCCTGAGTGGCAGCTTGATTTAAATTTAGCCCAGAACTAAATGAGCTGATCCTCTGTAAGAACAGAGGAAAGATTCAGGAAAGTGCATTTTCCTCCTCATCCTCTGAAAGTGGGAACCAGACTGAGACAGTAAGCTCACTGATAAAACCCGTCAGTGTTAACACCATTCCCCCTCTGACGTGTCTGTACTTCTAAGGAGGAATCCAAGCACAAGTAGTGAATGAGTTGCTGTTTCTCATCCCAGGGCTGAAACTTACTTGAGTTTTCTATAGATGTTCCCCCCATGGAAAGGAAAGTGGTTTGGGAGAGAGGGAACTGGCTTTTTAAGTAGGAATATCTTTAGGCAAAGAACAGCCCCCTCCTTGTAGTTTTATGTCCATTATAGCCTCTTTTGAAAAGCACAGTAGATAATGAATAGAGAATAAGTTGAATCCAAGAGAATAAGAATATTCCCTCATTAGAAGCATTCTTTGATCTGAAATTTGAAGCTGTCCCGCCAGTGTGCAGCTGGACATGTGTGCATGGTTGGGAACTCGCACACAGGTACCCACAGTGATGGCCTGAGAAGCTACAGGGACCGGACTATCTCTCTGCATTGTGGAGATTGAGTTCAAGGGAGTTCACATGATGTGAAAAGCACTAAGGTTCAGGCTTTGAGGTTTAAATAGATTTTCTCTTCGTGTTCTGATCTTAGGTTGTCAGAAAGAGATTCACACTTCTCCATCCTCCTCTGGCCCCATCCTAACAACTGTGTGCAAACTCAGAGAAGCCTGCCGGATAACTTACATTCTCTTATAGCATTTAGACTGAAATTCTTCATGACTTGACCATAAAGATCATACTACTGCCTGGCATTACTTTTACAAAGCACTATTAGACATTCATTTCCAAAAAGCAGTTGAGTAATAGTAACATAAACCACATTGGGGGGAAAAGAGCACTTTTTTTTTTCACTTAATAGATTAAGTGGGAAATAGGAAGAGGATTATTAGGGGAGGAGAAGATCTTACAAAAAGCTACAGTGTTTACAATGCCAGTTCTAGATTAGAAAGGCCATTCTCAGGATGGTTGGCATGTTGAAAAGCTCATACAAAGCTGTGTTCATTTTTATACAGCCTTTTTAAACTTCGAATTGCCATTTGTGTTCCAAACCTAAGTATAATTTCTACATTAATGGAATCAGTTCATTAGAATGACAATATGTATATGGATAAAGATGCAGTATTCCTATTCTGTACTTTATTTATTATACTTACCAAAGCAACAATTGAATAAACCTGGTGAGGTGAGGCCTTCAAATGTACTAATATGCCTTTGTTATGTATTTTGACTGCTTAGAAATGTGGCCAGAATGTTGTTGTGAAGGTGACTTAGCATTGATAATAAGGGTGGACAGAATTCAGCAGTATTAAGAATACCAGCATGCATGATACATTGAGTTATAACCTTCATGTGAGGGACTGGACATGACATGTCTTTTATGCATCATAATAGGCCCAGGAAGCCTTAATGCTCATAGTCCATAATCCAGTCTCAGATTTTGCTCTTTACTAATGCCTATAGATTTTGTGAGTAAATGTATTCTACAACTTCACTGACCAAATCTCTTTCTTCAGTTATTTTGAGGTGGTGTATCTCATTTTAGAAATATATATTTTTTGCTTTGATTTGGTTTTGTTTAAAAACAAGGTTTGGTAAGTTATGTCTTCCATATTACATTTCTACTTTTCCCCACACTGCCATCTACTTACCTGCACAGGCACCACTGATATATGCAGACCCGTATACACACCTGTATATGCAGCAGCCAGTGGGCTCATAAGTCTCAACAGAAAACTTTTTTTAAAAGAATGAATTTGTAATAATCCATACTGTCTACAAATGTAAGTTATTTACCTTAGTGGGGAATCAGCTTACAATGCTATATATGACTTTGCCTGCATTTTATAGTTAAGAAGTGTACATAAAAAAATTTTAAATGCTATATTTTCACAGGTTCATTATAGAGTAATGTCTGTTTAGCAACCCATGTCCATTGGTACTTTTAAGTGTGCTAAATACTGTGCAATTGCAATAGAAATTCAGATTTTCATAAGAAAATGAAATTGAGGATACTGCATCTTTAAAAAAAATAGAGTTGAAGATATTTTGCTGTATTCGTAACATATGTGATAGTGGAAAAAGTATTTTCAAACACAAATTTTACAGGGGTTGTAAATAGTTTGATGAAGTATGTTGGGGAAAAGAGCTTCTAGTTTTCATCACAATAAAAAAAAGAAAACTTGTTCAGATATGCCTTGTATATCTTACACACAATTAGCGATATTGCCATGGGAACTCTGTTCCATGTTCTCACAGCACATCCCTTGTGCTCTGACAAATGGAGTGGCCACTTGTCTCAATTCAGCCAGGATGGTTTAAAACACG